ATGTCAACTTACACATATTCTAATATTGATAACATTCCATATAATTTTATGTCAATTTATCATTAACAATGCATAATTTGATGACGCCATTGGTCAAAATCAAAGATGGCGGACCATATCAATGTATTTTAGGTTTTATCCTGAAAAAACATTTTTGAAAATTCAAGATTGATGATTCAAGATGGCGGATAGCTTAGATATGTATGAGGTCATAATACGTCATAACGACATAAAAAGTGTAGTTGTGATAAAATATTACTAGTACGCCATCCTCTGAAAATTTGGGGGTCATAGGACATACAGTTCGCGAGTTCTGACCCCCGTCCCACCAAGTCCCAAAAAAGCCCGGTCTAGATAGGCGAGAAGAGTAACAATTGAAATATGCCAATTGGAGCTGAATTGTAAAATTGAAAATTGATACACAAATTATATGGTATTCTACCTGTAAATAGAGGACACACAGCGATTTTACCTGTAAACAGAGGACATGCAGCGACCCACATATATCTTGAGTATTGCCAATTCATGTTTCAATCAAATTTACCACACCCAACCATGGACCAGTTTCATTCAAATTCACCTAAAGCTTGTGGAGTTATGTAGTTTTGCCACACAATGAACCACATTTTTGGCAAAATAATTATATTAATGAATACCATTTATGCTAGATGGCATAATTTATATCACAATGTACCGTGCTGTGAATCTGCAATGTAAACAAAAGTCAGTAACCTTCTCAAGTAATTCCAGTAAGGATTATAATTACCCTGAAAATGGATCTTGAAACCATCCTCGCTAATTGATCCGTCTGTAGTCAGGACTAGGTGAATCGTTTTTGATGTGGAGATCACTTCTTCAGGAATATCTTTGCCTATTAATAAAGAGCATTACATTATAACATTTTGTAAATAAATGAGCAAACAGTAAATAAACACTGCACTATTTGCAGGCAATGCCTTGGAAGGTACGTTATTTTATTAATTTTACATTAAGATATTAGCAAGATACAACAAATGAAAGAAATGACGA